AAAGTCACAATATGTTAAATTTAGCTTACAACTTGTTCGATGCTCTCCCATTGCAGTAAAATATCTGTCATAAAATTTATTATTCAGATGAATAACTACAAAACAAACAATAATCATAATAGAAAAACTTTACATACCTGGGTCAACATTATAAACAGAATAATCACCCATTGAATTGACAAGGAACCGAAAACTGTAATAAAAAAAAAAGGTATTAAAATAAAAATGACTTATAATAATAACATCAATATTTACAAATTTGAAATTACGTTAACATACTTGGCATTAACAAACCGTTCTTTATTAAATGGTTGATAATTAATAGATTTCTGTTTACGCGGAGTACTGGAAACAGAACGCTGGCGTGGTGGAAACGAAAAATTCAAAAGGTGATTAAGAGAGATTTGCCCCCGCTTGTTTGGTGCACCATACGACTAAAAAAAGTCGGATTAGAAATTAACATCTATTAACTTATATTTTCTAATTAAGCAAATTATAATCGAATAAACTTACTACAGGATTCGTATCATTTATCGACATATCATCAAATGCAGACACTGTATTTGTGATAGAAGCCTGCAATTCGTCGGTTTTATTTGCTTCATTATCTTCGCCCGAAAATTGGATTACAGTTTTATCACCGTTTCTCGAATCGGAATTGGATTGATTGCGTTGATGGTGATTAGATTGACGTTTTTGCCTGCGATGAGGATTACTGTTCCTCTTGTTATTGTTATTCATGCTTGATCGGACTAGATTGATAACAAGATAAATATTGTATTGAGTGATCAAATAACGCATGAACAAAAATCACGTGCAATTAAGAAATATCTAAAGTATTTAGATTACCATTTTGATCTCCTTGGGCGTGATAATTCTGATTTTTTGAAACAGATCTTTTAACGTCAGGCTGGTGCAAGATCTGAGCTCGTGAGACAAGAGGAGATGATGAATTTGTCCTGGATGGGACGTTTTGTGGAACGAATGCGGGTGCATTGATGTTCATTGTGGAGCCGGTAATAACAATCGTTGTTATAAATTATACGAGGATTTTGAGGTTTTCTCGGAGAAAAAAGTATTAAATAATTCCAATTGCTTGATGCAATAATGGTTTCCAGGGATAATGCAAGGATTAGGGGATATAACCAATTTGGAGGATATAAATTATATAAAGAATATATGTCGTTTGATTTTTGCCGGTTTTTCTTCTCTAAGCTGAGAAGAATCGGAAATGCAAAAAAGAATAAGCTATCGTTTGGTAAGAACCAGTTTACTGGAGTTCTCTTGGAACTAGCAATGAAGTTTATCAATAATAAAAATAGTATTCGCTCCATTTAGAAAAGGTTAAAGGAATCCATGCTGTGCAATAATAATAATAATAGGTATATTTAAAAAATAAAATAAAATAAATAAATAAAAATTAAAAAAAGTTTAATAATTAATTAAAAGAAGAAATGGTGTTAATTATGACAAGAGAGCAAAGAAGATTGATTTGCTCTTCCCTTTTCTTTGAATAAAATATAGAATGTGAACTATATAGATATTCGCTTTCTCGCAAATATAAATTAATAAATTAATACTGCGAAATATATTAAGACTAATAACTGCGCGATTTAAAGGATTTATAATACTGTATTAGGTGGAACTTTAAGTGTTGCAAGTGTTGTGTAAACCGCCTCTGTGCGTTATTGCTAGAGAGCCAGTGATAATAGAGATCAACTTGTGTTTATAGTATTAAATAAATGTGTCGAAACCGCAAGATAAAAATATCGAAGAACTTGGGAAAATTCAAGTTCAATGAGACTGTATAGGCTATCCACTTTCTTTATACCACGTTCTGTACAACCGGACTTTGTATGTCACGTGATCAGATGTGATGTTTCTTTTATATTATGAAATATATAACGATAATATACAATAGTATTTATTTCAAATACAAATATGGAGGCGCAATCTTCTAAATGCTTTACTCCAAACAAACCAATAAATTCTCAAAAAGAGAACCTAAACTAGTAAAACTAGTTATTATAATGCTTAATGTTTTTTTTTTTTTTTGTTTTAATATATTTTAATATATTTTAATATCCGGGGCATCACTCTGTATTTTTCCAGGCTTTCGATATTTCATAGAAGGCGGCTAGTGTACCAAATATTCCGACTCCGACATCAGGAAGTCGAGAATTCTCGATTGACCAATGTAGCTAGTAAATAATGATAAAAGATTAGATACGAGAAAGCATAATTTCGTATAATTTATATATAGTATTATTTACCGTTAACGGAAAATATCCGACGTTTATGAGGATCTCCCGAAAGATCCTATCCCCCTCAGATTTTAATTCTCGCTTCTCCCGCAGTACGGTCTCGACGTCTCCGTCGACACGTAACTCTCTCCGGCGTCGCACTAGTAAGCTCCTTTCGATGGCAAGATGCCAAAACTGAAGTAAAACATAAAGCGCCCACCATCTGCAACACCAAAGACTAATTTTATTTATCCGCTCGGGAGACATGGTTATAATTTTTCGAAAAGCCTATAAGAATAAAATGTTAGTAATAATAAATAGTAATATTAGATACGAAATAACTTGAGGACTTTATGAAAGAGACCACGAACCAACCACCAAGCATGCTCTAGGGGGTAGTAGAACAACATGGTTAGGTTCTGCATTCGTTTAATATTAAGCAGCAGAAGATTTGAGGATGGTTCATGTTCGATTTGAACCATCCATTTTATCAAAGGCAAAAGCCCGTAAAATCTATTAAAAGTGAATTTTCGTTAGTGATATTCGGAGATCTATAATTAAACTTAATATTATATTCCCCTGAAGGAAAACATACTAAATTAAAAGGTTCACTTATTCTATATTGATCGAATAAGAGTAATACCTATCCTATTTCTTGTTTTGTGGGTAAAGAAAGCCTGTTAAAAAACTCACCGTAGCAGAACCCTAAAGTCTGTAACTGGAACTTCTAGGTTGTTGATGCGTTCAGCCAAAGAGGCCCTACCGGCACGTAAAAGAAACCATATCAAGACTTTAGAAAAGTATTGTACCAGCTACATGTACAAAAGAGGTAAACATCTTTCTGAGTTTGTGGAAATTCGACCATCATAAAGTTAACACGCAGACATACCATTAAAATTTTGTCAAGACTCGGCACGGAGTTAAGAAATTTTACAAGACGATCTAGGGTGGGACTAGGCTGAAAATAGCCTGCGAGGGCCAGCGGTCTTGAAAGGGCACTCATTGGAGATCGTGGAAATATATGACGAAAAATCCAGCAATATGATATTACTAGGATTATCATAGATTATATCAGCCAATTACTCAAAAAATAGTTTTTATATATATATTTTTCTTACTACAGCACTAAAAACAGTAAAATGGGAAGTATTTATGATCTTTACTCACATATGTATTCCCAATCTCTTTTTTTTCATTTAAATTATATGAACAAGTTTTTTGCAAGTTTTTTCAGCATGCGCGTGAAATAAACGTGAACTAAAGTTTCATTGCTTACAGTACACGTGATTAGTTAATTATGAGAAGGAGTAATATAACGATAATAATTAAAGGCAAAATTATATCTGCTATATGCCATATGCCATTATATGCTTTCAATTGCTTATCAAAAGTGCACAAATACTTTATAATAATTTGTAAGATTAACCTTCCAGCTTCTTAATTACGCCACCCCTATCGATAAAATTTTTAATATGTCCATTAACACTATCTGTGACACTATCAGCTGTAGTGCTTTTTCCATATGCGTCAACGAACTGACCATTCGGATCCATTAAATAAAAAAATATTGAATGATCTACCAAATATTCGTCACCAGGTTTTACCTTTGGTGGACGACTAAAATAAACTCGATAACTTTTTGCAACTTTTGCTATTTGCTCATATGTACCAGTGAGACCCACCATATCTTTGTGAAAATCTAAAATATGTATAAAAGACTTAGACAAAAAAAAAACTTACATAATATAATGACATTAAAATATATTTATATGTACATGCCCTTTAGATATTCTCTAACAACCTCGTATGTGTCACGGTGTGGATCACATGAAATGAAAATTGGTGTTATAATTTTTCCAAGTTTTGGATCACTATCTGTTAATCCATACACATTTAGAAAATTTTAAATTCCCTTAATCCAAAGAATATTCCATTATTCCATTACTTACTGATATTTTCTGTAACTTTTGTCATTTTATCCAATTCCTCGGGGCAAATATCAGGACAATGAGTAAATCCAAAATATACCAATAAATATTGACCTAGAAAATCTTTATCGGTAACTAATCGACCATTATGATCGATTAATTCAAAAGGGCCACCAACTTGAGGCTTTCCGGCAGATTTACTTTCTAATTCTTCTTTGCCTTTAAATTCGATATTTAATGAGCTAACCAAAGGTGAAAAATGGTAAAAACATAGAATGTGTATATTTAAATACAAACGTTTTTCTATTAATTTTGCTTTTTCATGTTTAAAATAAAGGAATAACCCTGATCCTGTCATTGAAAATAATGCCAAACTTTTCCATGTAAATGGCTTTTCAAAATTACAAGTGACATTGATTAATAAA